AAAAAACCGGCGTCGGCGTCGGCGTCGGCGTCGGCATGCCACGACTTGGGAAAAGGAAATGCATGCTAGTGTGGTCGTGCAAGTGCATGGGTGTGTCGGGGGAGGCATGCGGCAACCTCCGAGGGCCAAGCCCCTCAGAGACCTCACCCCCCCCTATAATAGCATTAGGAAGCAAATTCCTAGTGACAGGAACAGACATCCTTTTGCTCGAGGAGTCATAATGGGGGTTTTGTGAAGTAAAACTCATTTTCTTTTGAAATAACCGATCAAAATGCAAACAAATAATTATTAACATTGTGAAAAATAGTTATTATATTTTTTTGTGCAATAAAATAATTATTTATTATTTTTTTAGCAAAAAAATAGGGAAAAATAGTTAAAAATAGTTAAAAATAGAGAAAAATCACGAAAAAATACGAGTAATTATTATTTGTTGAAATTAATTGATTAAAAATAAAAAATAGGAAAAATAGTGGAAAATTGAAACATGATGTTGCTATCCAAGCAAGGTTATGCGGTGTTTTGGGAGAGGAGAGGCATGCGACAAGGGAACAAGGCACGTCGTGTTGCTGTCCAAGCAAGGCCATGCGGTGTTATGGAAGAGGAGAGGCATGCGACAAGGGAACATGGCACGTGACGTTATTATCCAAGCAAGGCCATGCGGTGTATCGGGCAAAGCATCATGGCACGTCATGTTGCTAGTCAAGGGCATGCGGTGGGCAAGGCAACAAGGCATGTGGCACGTGGCACGCGGCAAGGCAACAAGGCAAGTCGGGAAAGCGACAAGGCAACATGGCAAGTCGGCCAAGCGACAAGGCAACATGGCAAGTGGCATGTGGCATGTGGCAAGGCAAGCGGCAAGTGGCACGTGGCAAGGCAACACGGCATGTGACAAGGCAACAAGGCACGCGGCAAGGCAACAAGGCACGCGGCAAGGCAACAAGGCACGCGGCAAGGCAACATGGCAAGTCGGGCAAGGTCTGCGAAAGCCTCTACCCCCCTATAATAGCAATAGGAAGGAAAACCCAAGTGCCACGAACAGACATGCCATGCTCGAGGAGTCATAATGGCACACGGCAGGGCATCTTGGCACACGCGGCAAGGCACTCGACCGGGCATCTTGGCACGCGGCAAGGCACTCGACCGGGCATCTTGGCACGCGGCAACGCACTCGACCGGGCAACTTGGCACGCGGCAAGGCACCCGACCGGGCATCGTGGCACGCGGCAAGGCACCCGACCGGGCATCGTGGCACGCGGCAAGGCACCCGACCGGGCATCGTGGCACGCGGCAAGGCACTCGACCGGGCAACTTGGCACGCGGCAAGGCACTCGACCGGGCAACTTGGCACGCGGCAAGGCACTCGACCGGGCAACTTGGCACGCGGCAAGGCACTCGACCGGGCAACTTGGCACGCGCCAAGGCACTCGACCGGGCAACTTGGCACGCGCCAAGGCACACGACCGGGCAACTTGGCACGCGGCAAGCCACCCGACCGGGCATCGTGGCACGCGGCAAGGCACCCGACCGGGCAACTTGGCACGCGGCAAGGCACTCGACCGGGCAACTTGGCACGCGGCAAGGCACTCGACCGGGCAACTTGGCACGCGGCAAGGCACCCGACCGGGCAACTTGGCACGCGGCAAGGCACCCGACCGGGCATCGTGGCACGCGGCAAGGCACTCGACCGGGCATCTGGGCACGCGGCAAGGCACTCGACCGGGCATCATGGCACGCGGCAAGGCACTCGACCGGGCAACTTGGCACGCGGCAAGGCACTCGACCGGGCAACTTGGCACGCGGCAAGGCACTCGACCGGGCAACTTGGCACGCGCCAAGGCACTCGACCGGGCAACTTGGCACGCGCCAAGGCACACGACCGGGCAACTTGGCACGCGGCAAGCCACCCGACCGGGCATCGTGGCACGCGGCAAGGCACCCGACCGGGCAACTTGGCACGCGGCAAGGCACTCGACCGGGCAACTTGGCACGCGGCAAGGCACTCGACCGGGCAACTTGGCACGCGGCAAGGCACCCGACCGGGCAACTTGGCACGCGGCAAGGCACCCGACCGGGCATCGTGGCACGCGGCAAGGCACTCGACCGGGCATCTGGGCACGCGGCAAGGCACTCGACCGGGCATCATGGCACGCGGCAAGGCACTCGACCGGGCAACTTGGCACGCGGCAAGGCACTCGACCGGGCATCTTGGCACGCGGCAAGGCACTCGACCGGGCATCGTGGCACGCGGCAAGGCACTCGACCGGGCATCGTGGCACGCGGCAAGGCACTCGACCGGGCATCCTTGCACGCGGCAAGGCACTCGACCGGGCAAGTTGGCACGCGGCAAGGCACTCGACCGGGCATCTTGGCACGCGGCAAGGCACTCGACCGGGCATCTTGGCACGCGGCAAGGCACTCGACCGGGCATCCTTGCACGCGGCAAGGCACTCGACCGGGCATCATTGCACGCGGCAAGGCACTCGACCGGGCAACTTGG